GGTCGTTGAACAGGTTGGCCAGCTAAGACTAGCTCAGATGTGCTCTGACCAGAATGGACAAGCTATGACCAGCTAAGACTAGATTCTCTGACCAGACTTGGACAGCTATGGCCAGCTAAGACTAGGATCAGCTTGGACAAGAGCCAGCTGACTAGCTCAGATGGACCAATGCTATGGCCAGCTAAGACTAGGTCAGACGAGGCACCATGGACAAACTATCGTCTAAACTCAAATTTTCTGACTAGATTGGACAAACTATGGCCAGCTAAGAATAGCTCACCAGAATGAATGACCACCTTGGACAAACTATGGCCAGCTAAGTTATTAGCTCTGACCAGCTTGGACAAATTGGCCAATTGGTACTCCTGACCAGCTAAGACTAGGTTCTGTTGGGGGTGACCAGAATGGAGATGGCCAGCTAAGAATAGCTCAGATGTGCTCTGAAAAGCTTGGGCTAAAAATAGTAATTAGCTCTGATCAGCTTGGACAAGCTATGGCCAGTCTTTTGAAATGTGCTTTTGGATAGCTTTGGCGGTGGCCAGCTAAGACTAGGTCAGACGAGCTCTGGCAGCTTGGACAAAAAACATCCTGTCAATACGGCAGTCCGTTGATTGGACAAGTTGTTTTGCGATTCCTCAAATTTCTGACCAGAATTTATGTGTGTTCCTTTCCTAATCTGTTTCCATTGTAATTTTTCTATAATTCTTCCAATTTTCATTTTACCTTATTCCGACCAAATTGACAATTATGGCCACTATTTTGACCAAAACAACTATCTAGCTGTTTCTACCATTTTCCATTCCAGTTTCCGCTCGGTCCTTGTACGATGACTGTTCTGCAAATACTCTGCACCTCATTTTAATTGCTTCATAATAGGTTCTCTATCGGCCTCGTTAACACCACTCGATTAATTCCTGGTATTTGACCAGTTTTCTTTCGCTCGCAAGTGTCAATTCTCGATTGTTCTAATAAGCACCTTTTCTGGCCGCTGATAGTTTCGTTTTATGTCAAGTCATTTCAATACGCAGGCGATCAGGGCTTCCCATAACTTCTTGCGTGTGTTGCTCTAAGTAATTTCTACCGTTTACCATCCCTCTTTTTCCTTGTTTCCTTGTTATTTATATTTTTCTTAAAACTTAATACTTATTCAAAACCCCCCTTTTTTGTATTTGTAGAGAAAGATGTGCTTAAATGCTAACTGATATTTCTTTTGGCAAGGTTAAATAAAACCTATGTTCCTGGCTTCAGAACTTGTAAACTTACAACTTCAAAGTACTTGGACAGGAAAAAACTATGGCGCCTAAATTGATGAATTTCATCTTAACATCAAGGAACGCATTAGAGAAGTAGAAAGGATTATAAAAATAAATCGATGTAATATGTCTATATTATTCAATGAGATATGTTTCAATGAAGATATGCTGCATATCTTGCATCTTGTCTGCAGTCGCTCTCTAACAGACATGCCGTTGCCTCCCTCTGTCTTTTTACAAATACTTTCACGGTAACTGTTCTCTATGAGCTGCTTTCGCTGGTTCCCAGACTTCATGAATTTAAGCGTTCAACTAGGCTGGCATCTCGCTCTCACACTTTCACTGTCGAAACTGTTAAATGTAGCCGTCTATTCTACTCCAACAGCTTTATGTCTCGCCTGTGAAACTCCCTCCCCGTTTCTTGTTTCCCTCATAGCTATAATCTCCAACTATTCAAATGTAACGTCAATCGACGTCTCCAGATGCCCTAATCTATCCCTATCCGTCTCTTCATCCTTTCCTCTATCACTCCTCTTTGCCCTCGCTCCTACTCTCTGTAACCCCTTGCGTGCTAGTGGCTTTCCGCCTTGCTTGGGGTTGAATGCTGAATATATATATATATATAAGCAGCTAATGGATTTTAAATGGATTTTTAATCCAGCCCACTAAATGTTACGTTTACAGTAATAAGAAATAATCTTATTACTATAAACGTAACGTTTAGTGAATTCGCGTGTATTTTTAACAACGAAATTAGCATATAATAGCCTAGATCTCGAAGGTCTGTCGATTAATATTGTCTTTTATAAGACTTCGAATTTTTACACTGAAAAAAAAAATAAAGGTGTCTACTCAAACACATGTACTCATTAAATTTCAATTTTATAGAAATAAAATCTATTCAAGAAGTCAACAGATTTAACTGACTTATTCAATTGACCGAATTGAAATCTCTCTCTCTCTCACACACAAACACACCTCAGAAATTGCATAAGTTCCGAGATATATAAATATGAGATCTGATAATTTCAATGGATTTGTCGATCATCTGTTTCTGATGAGCTTTTCGACGCGAAACTCTTGAATCAGTCCATCAGATTAGTCGGTTAAACTTTTATTGATTCTCTCTCTCTCTCTCTGTCTCTCTCTCTCTCTCTCTCTCTCTCTCTCTCTCTATATATATATATATATATATATATATATATATATATATAGTTTATGAAAAACTAGGTAATCCGTATGGGTAAACCTAAGGAGGATAAAATCCAGAGAGCTCAATGTAAATTCAGAGCAAATAATTTAAATAAAAACAGACCACTTTAAGGTTCCATGTAATAAATTATTTCACCACAGCCCTTTTAAAGGACTGAGGATCATCAGACATTGTTTCTTTATGAACCCCCAAAATAACACTTTAGAAAGTAAAGCAAAATAACAGCGTCTGTTTCTAGCTTTTTTTACAAAGAAAATTAGTGACATCTCCTCTCTTAACTTCCTTCCCTCTTTTTATCTTTTTTCTTCTCTACCCCTTCGATATCAATATATAACTTCCGTTAAGTTAACCGTTTAAATGTGTCAATATCTGCTAACTCATTCATGTCTTCTCTCTCCCCCCTCACTTCATTAATTTACATATGTTTAATACGGCCCGTCAAAAATGTGTAAATTTTCTTTTCATTTTTTCTTTGGAAGTAAAGTCTGGTGATCCGCAGTCCTTTTAAAAGGGCTGTGGTGAAATAATTTATTACATGGGACCTTAAAGTGGTCTGTTTTTATTTAATATATATATATATATATATATATATATATATATAATGGGCTGCAACCTTTCTTTTAAAATTTTTCATTAAATTCGGCTGGTAGAAGATTTCATTAATTTTTTATTTAGTTTTTCCAGCATCTTTACGTGTTTCCGTTTTGTATGCATAAGGGAGTACAGAAATTTGCCATAATTTTCATTGTCCCAAGCGCTTTCGGCTACTTTGTCAGCCATTTTCAAGTTTGTGTGTGTGTGTGTGTGTGTGTGTGTGTGTGTTGTGTTTTTCTCATCTTCTGACTGTTTCAGTTCTATTTTAAACGCTCCCATTCAAAACAACACAAAAATAAAACCGTAAATATGGTGGGAAAGATAAATAAAAGTATTAATTAATCTTCCTTGTCTACCGTATTTAATAAAATTTATATATATATATATATATATATATATATATATATATATATATATAGTTTATGAAAAACTAGGTAATCCGTATGGGTAAACCTAAGGAGGATAAAATCCAGAGAGCTCAATGTAAATCCAGAGCAAATAATTTAAATAAAACTCACTCATGTCTTCTTCTCTCCCCCACTCACTTTCCCACTTCGTTAATTTACATATGCTTAATACGGCCCGTCAAAAATGTGTAAATTTTCTTTTTATTTTTTGTTTGGAAGTAAAAGTCTGATGATCCGCAGTCCTTTAAAAGGGCTGTGGTGAAATAATTTATTACATTGAACCTTAAAGTGATCTGTTTTTATTTTTATATATATATATATATATATATATATATATATATATATATATATATATATATCCAAATGAGGGAAAGAACAGATGTAATAAAAAATCCACTGTTCGTAGCATTTACTTTTAAAAAAAGAGCTCAATACAAAAAGAGCAATATATTTTTATATTTTTAATATAAGACATTATAAAAAAAACATTTTGATATCGCTACACAAAAGCTTTCATGTTTCAATACTACGCCTGAATAAATACAATCGTAGTATTGAAACATGAAAGCTATTATGTAGCGATGTCTAAATGTTTTCATTATAATATATATATATATATATTATTCATTTTAATATTGATTAAATCACTATCAATTATTAATACCAAGGGAAAATGTCTTTTTGTGGGTGGAGGTGGCTGAAAATATGCAAAAAGTGGTGCCGTAATTTTTGCACTATATGATACGGAGTATTACTTTCTGTCGCATTTCGTATATAGACAATAAAAGCAAGAATAATAAAATATTATATTACATCACAAGACGACACTTACGTCACCGATGAATTTACTAGTAATATGCCAGTTGTGCACCATGATCTTAGATCAGATTGATAACAAAAAATATGTGAAGTGTTATTTCCTATTTCTTGACTATTTTTTAAAGTCGTGTCTCTTTTTTATAAAGAATATTTGAAAATAATGGGTTTCGTTCTATTCTGTTTTCAAATGATGACAGTACGATAAAGACAGTCAATGACGAACCCGTTTTAACACAATCGTGAAATCTCTTTATTGCGTTCTAGAATTTATTTATTTATTTATTTTAGCGAGGACAGTTGTGGCAGATATGTTAGTAAGTTTATCGCTTGGTTATACTGAGATTTTTTTTGCCTCTGAAACGGAGGAATAGACGTAAAAGGAAATAGTGGAAAATAAAATTGTTAAAAGATCATTATAAATTTTTTTTTTTAAATGCCCCCTCCCCCCAAAAAACGATGTGTATGCTCTTAATGTCTATTAAGCTTAACTTAGTCTGACACAAGGTCACAATAGCAAAGCACCCAATGGTTTATCGAACTTACTACACGAACAAATAGATTACTCGCTATAAGATTAAGGTTTTAAACATTTCTTCTCGATTCTGCTTAAATGGTTTTCTAATTGGGTTTTGTGTGAAACTTAGTAAACATCTACTATCCAAGGTTATTTTTCTCAATCTTTCCCAAATTCTCAATCTTCTCCCCATTTTTCAGTCTTCTCCCCCTTTCTCAGTCTTCTCCCCCTTTCTCAGTTTTTACCCTTTTCTCAGTCTTATTCTTCTTTCTTAGTCTTCTCCCCATTTTTCAGTCTTCTCCCCCTTTCTTAGTCTTCTCCCCATTTTTCAGTCTTCTCCCCCTTTCTCAGTCTTCTCCCCCTTTCTCAGTTTTTACCCCTTTCTCAGTCTTATTCTTCTTTCTTAGTCTTCTCCCCATTTTTCAGTCTTCTCCTCCTTTCTTAGTCTTCTCCCCATTTTTCAGTCTTCTTCTCCTTTCTCAGTCTTCTCCCCCTTTCTCAGTTTTCTCCCCCTTTCTCAGTCTTCTCCTCCTTTCTCAGTTTTCTCCCCCTTTCTCAGTCTTCTTCTCCTTTCTCAGTTTTCTCCCCCTTTCTCAGTCTTCTTCTCCTTTCTCACTTTCTCCCCCTTTCTCAGTCTTCTTCTTCTTTCTCAGTTTTCTCCCCCTTTCTCAGTCTTCTTCTCCTTTCTCAGTTTTCTCCCCCTTTCTCAGTCTTCTCCCCCTTTCTCTGTCTTCTCCTCCTTTCTCAGTTTTCTCCCCCTTTCTCAGTTTTCTCCTCCTTTCTCAGTTTTCCCCCCTTTTTCAGTCTTCTTCTCCTTTCTCAGTTTTCTCCCCCTTTCTCAGTGTTCTTCTCCTTTCTCAGTTTTCTCCCCCTTTCTCAGTTTTCTCCCCCTTTCTCAGTCTTCTCTTCCTTTCTTAGTTTTCTTCTTCTTTCTCAGTTTTCTCCTCCTTTCTCAGTCTTCTCCCCCTTTCTCAGTCTTCTCCCCCTTTCTCTGTCTTCTCCTCCTTTCTCAGTTTTCTCCTCCTTTCTCAGTCTTCTCCTCCTTTCTCAGTTTTCTCCCCCTTTCTCAGTCTTTTTCTCCTTTCTCAGTTTTTCCCACTTTCTCAGTCTTCTTCTTTCTCAGTTTTCTCCCCCTTTCTCATTCTCCTCCTTTCTCAGTCTTCTCCTCCTTTCTCAGTTTTTTTCCCCTTTCTCAATTTTCTCCCCTTTTCTCAGTTTTCTCTCCCTTTCTCAGTTTTCAAACAGCACAATGCAGCGAGACCAATGCCAGACTAACAGTTCACTACATAACTGTATGTAATTGAATGTCTCAGTGTATTGCAAATAGTAGAAAATTATCCTTGTAGACTCTTTTAGATTCTCTCTCAGTTCTCCACACTTGTAGCCTTGCATCCGACTGAGCTTAATTTAATAAATAACTATTTAGTGGTTTCAGTAGTTCCATATTTTCGTTGTTTCGACTGGTGCTGGTGGACGGTGTTCAATTCCAGGTAATAAGAATTTTGAATGTCGATTTTCGAAATAGACCTTTTCCAGTTGGAAGTTTGTTGCAACACACAACATAATCTCCATTTTCTTTTCTCTACATTTCACATGAAACTAAATATTAACAAATATCTTTGAGTACCAGAGTGGAAGTTTTCATAAAACAAATTTCACAAAGCATTGCGACAATACAATAAGTTCAATTTTTATTGGATGTTCCTCATCTGTGGTCATTTCCCTATATGAGCTTTGGAAATGTCAGTATAAAATGCACGTATTACACGTATGATTTGATTATAGTGGTGAAGGCTTCACGCTTTTTGAAGAGCTGAATACAGAGACCTGGTGCACAATGTGCCACAAGTTCCCCAAAGGGCCCTCCACAGGTTTTGAATTCAGAGTTGTCCTTCTCCAAGACCAATTGCCATCCAAGGCTATAGAACCCAGTCTGTACTGCTAAGAAGGATATTAGCACGTAAGTGAATGTAATGGATCCGACTGGAATTCGAATTCGGTTTTCTGATTCCTCAATGGACAAATTCCCACAATTATTTTTAAGACATTTTTATGTTCATACATTCTTTTTTATATTTAAGTAAATGCTCTGTTTATAATAAACAGTATTAACAACATTTAACAGCCTGAATGTCCGAGAAATTCTTATAGAAAATATGCGTCCTCCGACAGAAATTGAACCTGTATTCTATACAGAAACGTCCTATAGCCTGGCGTGCTTTTACTGATTTTGCCAGCAAGGTCGATTTTATTGCTTTTAAACTAAAATGTTCCATGATTTTCTCACATACATTCCTATCTGCTCAATGCGTATCCATGCCAACATAATAGAACATCATGTTTGACGGTGAATATCTTTGCTTAAATACCAGTATAATCACTCTGAAGATGGCTCAGGTGAGTCAAAAGCTTAGATCAAAGAATAGCTTAATAAAAATATCTAAATGTTGGACAATTTTTGCCTTTATTTTCACGCGAAATTAAAGCAAATATACGGAGTTTAGAAAGGCTCATGATCAAACATAACAGACATTCATTGTCTGACATATATATAACAATATATATATATATATATATATATATATATATATATATATATATATATATATATATATATATATATTCATTTATTTATTTTGTCCAAAAATAACAATACAGCTGCTAAGTCAAAATTACAAAGAACGAACATTATCTATGAGTTCAAATGCCCCTTAAGGAACCGTGTTTCTGATCAAACCAGACTCATAAATAATTACATCGGTTACACAACCACATGCTTATCCAGACGTCTTACGTTACACCTATTTGATCACAGCTCCATTAGAACACATTTAAACACACACACAAATTTACCAGACTCCATTATAAACATACTAGTAGAAAACACAAATATATTAACTGCATCCACCTGCAAAAAAAAAAAAGACTAAAAATAATGGAAGCTTTAATAATAAAAAAGAAAAAGCCAACTCTTAACAATATTAACTACGAACAAAGCCACAATGTGCTAACCGTATTCGGAAATTAAAACATCCCTACCACACACTAAGACATACACAGAACGCACACACTCAATTAAGCTGAAAAATCGAATCATCCTTGATAATGGCTAAATGTATAGCCGAAAGTGCTCGGAAATATAAAACATTTGGACAGTTTTTACACACTCTTTGTCCAGAAAAAGAAAGCTCTCGTTCGAACACAAGAAAAATTAAATAAAAGCTTAACCGTAGTACCTTGTCTGTCGTTTTTAATGAAACATGCATATATATATATATATATATATATATATATATATATATATGTACACGCATATTTTTGTTGATAAATAGTTTTAACCTGTGTTTTTTGTCAGTACGCGACTGACCACTTCTGATTATGAGTCTTTGTTAGCTTCTGAAATTGGAAGAAATCGACATCAAAATTGTCAAAAGAAAAAGGTTAATGAAAAACGACCCCATCTAAGTTCCATAATGAATCGTGACATGAGACCGTTCCTTTTTTATTTGAGAACAAAGCCTATGCTTCGTGAAAGCAAGGCTTAGATATTGGTTATATTTGGACAGTCAGTTTTTCAGTGATTCCAGTTTGGTTAAATACCAAAGAAAGTTATTTAATTAATTTTTATTTGTTTTTGTTCAATGTTTTTGATCAACGAATCGACAGCCAATACACACCCGAGTGTGTACTAACGTGTATACACACATACAAGGAGGTGCTGAAAAATCTTGACCTGAATTACCTCCCTAAACCAGATTTTTTTTCTTTTGATAAACTTGCTTGGACGGAAAGCTTCCTCGTGTGTGTGTGTATATATATATATATATATATATATATATATATATATATATATATATATATATAGAGAGAGAGAGAGAGAGAGAGAGAGAGTGTGTGTGTGTGTGTGTGTATTTGGGCAGCAACCCTTCTTTGATACAAGTTTCGTTAAAGACGAGTTCGTACAAGTGTTTTCTTTTCTGGACACAAGGTGTGTCAAAACTGTCCAAAATGTGCGTTTATCCGAGCGCTTTCGGCTATTCTTTTAGCCATCATGAAGAGCGTTTTTTATTTTCTAATTTTAAATGAATGTGTGGGTATTTCTATGTATTTATCTGAAGTTATAGGATTATTTCATTTTCCAAAAACGGTCAGCACATTGTGGCCGTGTTCATAGTTAATTTTGGCTTTTCTTTTTATTATATATATATATATGTGTGTGTATGTGTGTGTGTGTGTGTGTGTGTGTGTGTGTGTGTGTGTGCGCTCGCCATTGAATACGGCGGACAAGGAAGATTGAATCATTTTTTTAAAAGTTTTTCCAGCATTCAAACATTTTTCCGTTTTGTCGGATTTAAGGAATAAAAAATTGTCCATAATTTTTATTGCCCAAATCACTTTCGGACAATTCTATAATTATTTTCAAGGATATTTTATCTCTGGTGATGGTATTTTTTCTTCATGTTTTTGATTGTTACGTTCTAAATTATGTTTGTGTTGTTTTTTTAAAAAAAGGAATCGTTCATTCCAAGCTCTCATATGCTGCGCGAGACTGGAAACATCTTTCTATTTTTTATTTTCTAAAACTTTCAACACTCCATTTTCACTATTAAATAATTAAGGTTGATAGTAAGAGAAAATTGTTTAATATATCGCGCCTCTCGAATATCAAGATGTTTCTGATAATGGGATTTATATAGAATTCTTGTGTTTTCGACCAGAATTTTCCTTAAAGGTTCTTGTAGATTATGGATTAATAAATGTTTTTTTATTGCACTATGTTCAGATAAATGACACGTAAGGCGTCTACTCAAGCCGGTTGTAGTGTGTCCGATATTGGTATTTGATTTGTGACAAGAAACACAGTCTTGTACTGCGCATAGAAATTGACACACTATATTGGTCATCGCTAGTTTAAATTTAATGGGGTTACTTTGATAAGTATCCACAAGATTTTCGGTCTTCCATTTCCTGTAATATATTAAAAACAACACAAATATATTTAAAAAATTAATAGTCAAAACATGAGGAAAAAATAACAGCACCAGAGACAAAACACCGTTAAAAATGGCCATAGAAGTGGCCGAAAGCGTTTAGGACAATAAAAATTATATTCCTGTCATATACCGTATCTATGAACAATAATGGGTATGTCCCAATCCTCATAAATACATTGGGCACTAATGTAATTGGGGTTAATATGCTGCCAAAGTAGTCCACCACTAGCAGTGGTTTACCTACTTCACACCGCTGGCGAGTATTGTATTTTGTTGATGTTATAAAGATTACCATTTCATTTCCAACCTCCGTTTTGGTTATTTCTCATTCAGTAACCTTTTCTAGATTACAACAATTCGTTAGCTCTAACAGAAAGGGAAAATGTTAGGATGCTAGAAAAATTAATAAAAAATTAATTCATCTTCAACGAAAGATGTTTGAAAGAAAGATTGCTGTCAAAATATGCAATATATATATATATATATATATATATATATATATATATATATATATATATATATATATATATACAGGGTGTTCATAAAGTTTGTGTGCACTTTAAAAATTTCTAACTTTATTTGTATTTGCGATAGAAATAATCTGTAAAAATTTTTATAAAGTTTAATATACCTAGTTTTAAGTATAGTTATTGAACAATTCTTTACCACAAAATCAGGAATTTCCTAACAGATGGATCGGAAGAGGTGGACCATTTATCAGTTGGCAAATGTTTTCCGTGAACTGCAAAGTCGTATTACCCATTGTATTGCTAATGATGGAGAACATGTGGAAACTTAAATAAAATTTCAACAAAATTATAAAAATATAGATTTACTTCTTTCTAATCCTTTTTACAAATTATTTCTATCGCAAATACAAATAAAGTTTATACATATTTAAAGTGCACACGAGCTTTATGGACACCTGTATATATATATATATATATATATATATATATATATATATATATATATATATATATATATATATATATATATGTCTCTGTATAGGTAAAAATCCGTTGGTATATAATCTAATGGAATCCTAATAAGATAAAATACTAAAACTGATTCATATACAGAGCTCAAAGCTTTATTGAACCAGATCAAATGAATTCCTTACAATAGGAATTAAGATTACTCCATGGTTATGAGCATTTTACTCCACAAATTAAGTTTCATTTGTAAGGATTTTCAAAGCCATCAGTCTAATATGAAAAAAAATAAAACAACCTGATGGCTTTGAAAATCCTTACAAATTAATCTTAATTTGGATAAAAT